ATAAAATTCATCGTATTATCGGTTTATTGACTCCCCCATTGGGTACCATTACGTTTTCAATGCATCTGTCGGGGTGACGTTAGTTATTTATTCAAGCGGACTTCGCCAAATGAAACAAGCTCGATAACAGAGGGCTGAGATTGAAAATATGCATACAATGGACGCTACCAGTTGGGTCCGCCCCACGGATTTACAATTTATCATTTTCAAAGTGGTCATTCGTATTCAGGATTATCAGAGCAGTTGCCTTTAACGGGTATCGGATTAATCGTTGGAACGAACTTCAGCTTTTTTTTTTCCTTCTTTTTCTTTTCTTTTTTCTTTTTTCTCTTCTTTATTCTTTTTTTTTCTCTTTCTTTTTTTTTTTTTTTTTTTTTTTTTTTACCGAATTGTTTGTCGCAGAAAGTAATGGAAAAATATTTTTTTCATAGTCGTCGGAGGTTTTATTAAAACTTTGCACTTTGGTGCACAGGCTGCCAATTTGTCCTTTCGAAAGCTGAAATAAATTTTCTCTTTTGCTACTTTCTTTTTCTGTCTTGTTTTTCTCCCTTTTTTTCCACCCATTCGAAGTCGTTCCTTCCTTCTGGATTTTGCGGTCCAGCAACCGTTGATCTCGCGGGAACTACGACGAAACGTAAATCGTTGCGGTCGCTTCCGCCTCTTCGAGATTTATGGTCACGCAAATGAAAAAGTGTGGAGAATGTGCTAATTGTATCCGTTGATTAACCGCTGGTGCCACTAATCTCTTGGCTTGTTCTCTGTGACGTCGACCGCAAACGAACTTGACTTTATTTTTTCTTTTGGATTTCCTTTCTTCTTTTTTTCTTTTTTCTTTTTCTTCTTTTAGATTTATATTTAGATATTAGAAAAAAAAAAAGAAGAAAATTCAGAATACAAATTTTCATGGATGTTTACTTCAAACTTTACACGTAAAATTTCAAATATCGAATTGCTAATTATGATTGGAATTTATCAAATTGTTTTTCAAAGTTGTTAGTAATCTTACAAATTTTATAAAGTAATTTTACAAATTTGTTGGCTAAAATATAAACCATAGTTCAACCGTTAATATCCGTTTCTGGATAATTATTGATAATATAAATTAAATTAAGTTAATTCGTTTTCTCGGACGTTTCGATATGAGATAAGAATAAAACGCTTGATAAAGTCGCTTCTCGGTATTCGAACATTCACAATAGTGATCGTAATAGTTAGATCATTCTTCGTGGATCACTCAAGAGACATAAATACATATTTATTCATCATATGTGACACATGTTAATACAATTTTTTGATTAATATGACGATTACTCTCGATCAATTGCATACTTTCACGAACGTTATGATAACGCTTTCAAGAATATTTATTGAAAGATTTATTATGGTAATAAAAAAAAATGTTGGAGACAAAAAATGAATGGTTCGAGGTCGATGATATTTTTTTCTTCGCTAGTGCATATGCACATTCATTATTGCAAAAATATGATCATGAATATGTAGTCTACTTTAAGCCATTCGTTTTTTTCCTCTAACATTTTTTTTCTTTTTTTTTTTTTTTTTTTTAACTTCAATCAAAAAAGAAAAATATCTATGGCTTGTTGCAGTCAGATTAATCTTCAGAGATTTTTTTCCAAAAACCTCGCAAACTAATAATTTTTCGACATTATACGACATTTGTGCTATAATACTTTTTTATTCAGAATGACACGAGAAGTCAATTATATGCAAAACGAAACAACAACAAAAATCGTAAAGTTTCATTTAAAGAAAGATACCGATGATTTAAAAATCTCGAAGAAAAGTAACTTTGAGAAAAAATGAAAATATTTTTCACCTTGGCACTTTTTTCTATCGTAAAAACAATCAGCAAGATGTTTAACAAACACAAGTTAGATGGGACATCTTGTATAGTACCTTAATCTAGTGTATTAATTATATAATTTACAAATATATTTCACATATCTATTTACGATTTATATCTTTAAGCACGATATCATGGAACGTTGAGCCTTCCAAAGAAAAATAAAAATTTTTATCTTTTGGATTATGACGAATCGAATACGAAAGAGACGAAAACGAAGGAGTTGGTGTTAACTAGTCTTATTTTAGTAGAAATAGCATAAACCCTATGCCATCGTTTCCTTGAGCATCATAGTCGTTGTTCTTAATTATTCCTATAATTGGAAGTAGTAACGTGTACGGTAAAGCTTTTGGAATATTCTTTGTATTCTTTTAATACCCTTTTAATGGGCGATATTCTCGAGCAGTAGGTTAATAGGGTGTCGTCCTTGCTCGTTATCATTATCATCGATGCTGTGGCAAGTGGTCAGACGATGTACATTCTCATTTCGCGAATCGTTTCTTGTTAAATAGCCAGGACGATGAAGTTGAGATGATCTTTCAAGCACGCTACGTTGGCTTGACTTATGATGTCATTATTTTGTTGTAGGCCACGTGTCCAACCGGAAAACTAGAGCTTGAATCTCGTAGGAAAATCGTTTTACATCATCCTTATTCTACTTATATTCGTTGTTATTAAAAAAAAACAAAAAAAACAAAAAAAGAAAAAGAATAGAAAAAATACAATTTATTCTTAAGACCACTAGATTACCTATTTTTAACTTTTGATAGATTTTATATTTCTTGGAAATATTCTCTTTATTTCTGTTGTCTTCTATAGCGAATATCTCAGAAATGATTTTTAATATTTGCCGAAGAATAGAACTGTATTGAAACTAATTTCAATTCTTACAAATCGATTAAGAAAACCGAAAGAAAGAAGTTAAACGTTACTCGGCTGGAATGAGAAACGAATAAGAATGTCGTTCGCGTAAGAATGTTGGTAATATCGAGTAGATATACAATCATTCGCTCGGAATAGAATATTCGATCGATCAAGTTCGATAAATTTCTCTTCTCTAAAAAAAGTTTTTCTTTAACGACAAAAAATATTTCTATCTCATTTACATTCCGTGCATTGTTGCAAGTTTGCGTGATGAGAATTTCAAAGAAATTTTTGATATTCTAAAATCACGTATATAGCAAATTTATTGTATTAACGAGTTTTTCTATCGCAAATCAAATTTGATTTTATGTAACTGTACGTTTTACATTAAAAATTGATTTTAACAATTATTATTTCGACCTTTTCGCTTTCGTCGAAAAATTCCATGTAACCATTGCTAAAAATAAACGTTATTTTCAATCAATTGATGGAAATCGACATCGACACAGGGCTTGGTCGTGCTCGTACGTGCAGTTTAGAGACATTGTTGTCTGTGTATTACACGCATTACGTAAGGCCGGAATTCTCGATCGTGATTCATGTCCGACATCTATTGCCAAACGCCCACGCAATTCGCAGGACAACGTTCTCTGTATTATATAAAGAGACTCTTCTACGTGTCATGGTTATCGATGGAAATATCTCTGATACTAGTGACCTTCTAAAGGATAAAATATATATACATATAAATAGATATATGTTTATATACATATGTATGTATATATTATACATCGGGTATTTATTTCGAAGCATTCGAAGAGATAAATCGTTCTTGAATTATATTTTCCATTAAATTTCAGTCTGTTTTTTTGTCAACAGAAATTTTATCTTTAAACGACTTTAAACAAGTATCATCGGAATAAGTGAAATTTTATTAGATTTATATCCCGCATGTTATACGTCTCATTTACTCCATCGAAGTATGATCTTGACTGGATGAGCATGGACGATTTACATGATGTGCATTACACGTCTTCATTCAAAAAGATCGCATTCACGGTGTTTCGCAATACGGCCGTGTTCTAGTCAGTCGCATTAAAATACAAAGTTCATACTTATGAAATGCCATCATAGTTCTAATCTTACATACTCATCATATCTGCAAATATTTACATTTGCATTTATTACATGCATATGTATACATAGACAAAACAAAAAAGATAAGTCAGACATGAAGTTTCCGACATTGAAATTCTTATCTCTTCGGTCTAATCTGCATTCTTTTGTCTCCATACTAATATTCCTATAGAGAGAGAACTTCGTGTCAAATATTTCAACGAGCAAACAAAGGTTGATTGAGAAAAATAGGATCGTAGTCTTCTTGTTGTTACTAATGAAAAAAAGAGACAAAAAAAAAAGAATGGGCGAAATCTGAAGAGACATGAAAAATATTGCGACATAATCCTTCGTCGATATATATATGTCGACAGAATTAATTTCTCGTTAAATATTTTTCAAAGTAGGGCAATGTATCTAAGTACGTTGAAACATTGTCCGCCTGAAGGAACAACGTCAGTGTTTCGATTCGTTTTAATGTTAATTTCATGCTTTTCTTCCGCGAGAGATCACGTAGCTCCTCTATTGCCGCCGTTATCCTCCAACAGCAGAAGGAGGAGGAGAATGAGGAGGAGGAAGAGCAAACTGTAGAAGGACGAACAAGTCTTGCCGCTTTCGTTTTAATCGTTACCATCTTCCACTTTTGCCCTCTTATCCTAAATACCCTCCCACCACTTTTGGCCATTCTCCTTTTCTTCCCGCTTTCTCCTCCTTCGTAATTAGTATTACCTTTTTCCTATGGTCCCTGAAGGTTCTTTTTTCTTTTCTAGCCTAGGAATGATGAAAAAAGAAAAGGGAAATGTTGATAATGATAATAACGAAAAAATTAGTTCGGTCCAGTGATACGCGCTTTGAGATATGTCGATAGTCTTTACGAATGAAATTTTTTCTTTTCTTTTTTTACTTTCTTTTCCTTTTTTTTTTTTTTTTTTTTTTTTTTAACAGAAATTAAATTATATATTTCACAGCATCAGGCTTTCTTTCCATTTGTTCCAATATCTGACTATTTGTACATCGAAATAACATTCACGATTTTCATTATAAGATAATATATGCGTTCGCATTATATGTATATTATTTGTCTATCAACTTTTCTTTTTATTTTTTTTTCTCTTTCAAATTATTCCACAATATTTTTAATAAATAAAATTTGTTTCAGAATATTGTTCCTGGTCTTTCTCGTTCTCCGGACGATCCATGGCCGATCAGATTTCTTTGGAGAGAAAAGAGGTAAGCCAAAAAGAAAAGTAATTCAAGTGTTAGGAATTGGATGAATATTTCTCGCTAGATAAAAGTTCTCTGGGATATTATTATCCCTTTCGTTCTAGATGTCGTCCAATGTTCACGAAGTTCGAAGGAGTTTGCTACGATATAAATCGTTTTCCATTTTTACGCTGTCCGAGTACGATGGCGATTCTCCTTGGGATACACAAAATATTTTCTCGTTCTCGTAAGATAGCTCTTGACCATATAAATCCGATAGTTTACTTCGAACGATCCTGCTGGAATAGATTTCACTCTTGACTTTTCAATTCGAGCCTTTCCGTTAGTCTCTAGATTTAAGACATCCATCTATGTCAGTGTCTTCGAAGAGATCAAGACAAACGTTTCTTTTCGATGATAAATTTATTTAAATAATAATAGTATTTGTTTTTTACGACTTATATTGAAAAACTATTGGTTCTTTTCTTTTCTTTTTTTCTTTTTTTTTTTTTTATTATTTCAACGTAATATAAGAACAAGTTGTGCGTTGAAAATCAGAAAAATAGACTATCTAATATCTATTGGAATGAAGTTTAACGTATATACGATAAGAACAATATTACAACTTTGAAGTCATTTTGCTCGGATCGTTTCGTTGTTAGAAGCGGTCGAACAACGAGGGTTTATTCGAAGATAACAAAACGTGAATGATACTGTGTTTCGATCGTAAAATGACCAGAGATATATCTCACAGTCACAACAATGAAGGTAACACAAAAGAGACAGTCTAACTTCTGATACAATTCATACCTATTCATTTTATTATTGCTATAACGCACACATTCAAATATAGACCACGTTAGAAAAGGTTGTAACAAAATTAAATGAAATTCATAAACGTTTCAAATATTTTCAAAGCCGATTGACTAATTTTAAAAGAACAAACCTTTCGTTCGAACTTGTTAATTAATTTTTGTTACGTTTTTATTTTTTAAAAACAAAATAACGTGTTAACTATTCTATTTTATTGTTCAATAAAAACATATGAAGAAACTACAAAGGTGGCTTCGTCGAGTAAACTTTTTTAATACAGAACATATGTGGTTAATGTTCGTATATGTGTACTTTCGGTCTGAGATCTTCGTTTGGTAAAAAGGTATTTAATAAACAAAATTTATTTTCAATTTAAGTGGTACAATGTGGTCTATATAAATTTTTATAATTCGAATAGTCAAATAAATAATAAATAGCTTTGTAATTCGATACGTATAAATAAAGGTATATAATCGATCTATAGAAATTTTTGTTTCATTATTTCCACGATTTAATCGATGGAAAGAAATATGAAAAAGTTAAATTGACAAAGTTTAAAAAATTATTAACAAAATTCCGATGAAATTCAAATACATTTGAAATAATTTTAAAACGAACCAATTAATTTGGAAAGATCGATCGAGATTAATAACACCATGTGTCGTCTTTTTTATTGAAATATTTTGCGTAGGAAAATATTTCAGGAAATGAAAAAGCACGCTAGAGACACGAAGGAACGTAATCCGGTTCGCGTCGCACGTCGTCAAGCTCAATTCCACGATTTTCTATTTCCTTTTGCGGCCTTTGGAGTTTGTAGAGAAGGAAAGAAGGGAGGATGAAAAAGGGGTTGAAAAGGGATAGAAAGGTTCGCTCTCGCGTCAGTGGGATACTTAAAATCCAGAGAGCGGATTTCCAGCCCTCGTCACGCCTCGGTCTAATCTGCCAGTTTTATAAGGATACCGTGCCGCGATATTCCTGTGGGAATTCGCCGAGAGGATTTTTCATCTCTTCGCTAACCTCACCGCAGTGACCTTAACCAAGCACTGGCAAAGCGTTCACAAGCCACGCGTACCGTTTCGTTCGAACGGGATAGTAGTAAAAGTCGACGTATGCTCTGACGGGTACATAAACGTATTCCACGATCCCCTAATCTCTTTCAACGAATCTCTTTTTCGTTAGAATTATTTGAGACTGCTCAACTCTCATTCCGAATCCTATGAATTTCGTGTTCCTCTTTTTTACTCTTTCACATGTCCATTTTTATTTTTATACTTTTTATTTCGTATTTAGATCTGCGTTTTAATATCACTCATTTTGTCACATTTTTATTCCGTTACTATCGTTTTCTAATATCCTTCAATGGATATCTGTTTCGTTAGAATTACTGAAGAACACGCTCGACTTTCATAATGAGTTTGACAAATTTCGTCTCTTCTTTCTTCGTGTCTTATTCGAGAGATCGCTCTTATAATATTACTCATTTAATCGACTGGCTTTGTAAAACATTTTTTTTTGAGGGAGGGGAGGAGAAAAGAGGTGGGGTGGGAAGAACAGATAATTTACAATAAGAAACGGAGATGAAATGAAATGGTAACTTTTACTCTTATAAAATGGTAAACGCTTTAAAGTACATATTTCTTAAATTCAGAGTTAAGTTGCCGTTGAATTAGTTTCCTTTAAGAACATCTTTCGTTCGCACGACTTTCTTTCTCACCAAAGCGCGTGGAAATTTTAACGGAACAATGAAGAAAATTGTCTTGCTCGTTCCGTTATTTCATTTTATTTTATTATATTCATTCCTTCATTTTACCGAAAAGTTCTCGAGTTGTTCGCCGATCTCTCGTGAATACCAAGAGTTTTAAATAGAACTGTTTGGAGATAGAAGGGGCGGAGTTAATAAAGAAAAGTCCTTTGAGGATAATGACGAGAACGTACCTTTTCCCTTGAAAGACAGTGATCATTGAAGAGTAGTGAGGGATTTCTTTTCTTTCTTTTCGAGAATCTCATAATCTAGCTCGCTGCAATGAAATGGATATTTTCATATCGCGGATCGATGACGACGAATTCCATAATTATTCTGAAAGAAATGTGAAAAAGTTACAAAAAAAAAAAAGAAAAAAAGAAAAAACATGAAAAAAAAGTAAAGGTTCCTTTGAAACGAATTTCAAAGTTACACTATGGATAAGATAGAAAATTATCTTGTCGTTAAGAATGACGAAAGCTAAATATTTATAAATTACGTTCTTCTTAAAGTATAAGTAAAAGAACTTTTCGAAAGAAAAAAAAAAAGAAAAGAGAGGCATAGATTTAATCACTTTTTTCCCTTGATTTTTAACTTGCTTATCACGAATGCAAAGGGATCGATGGTAACGGGATTTAGCTAAGCGACGCAGAAAGGGGATCGGATGTATAGCTCCCGCAGGATGCTAGATAACACGTCTCTCTTCCCCTAAGCTCATTTGTATCAAGTCTGTTCCGGAATTTTCTGCTTGCGGAAATGACTGCTTTTTGTGTTATCATCTACCGCGTCAATATTTAATAGTTGGCCAACGATCAATTTGTGCTAATTCTTATCGGCAGCTTTCTGTGAAATCTCAAGTTTACAATATTATCCTTAGAGTATGGAACAATGAAAAAAAAAAAAAAAAAAAAAAAAAAAACATCTTTTCCTCTCCAGCTCCTTTAAGTCAATATTTCAAAGAAACATTGAAATTTATCGCGCGATTAATCTTTGATCCTCTTTGATTAAAGACGGCATTCGCGTTGCTTTTATTATTTGAATATTTAATCAATCGATAAAACGGTTCTTTTCTGGATCGCAGTTAAAGAGCTTCGCTCATATCTGCTCGACGTATTATCGTTAGAGGATTTTCTGTTCGTTGTAAGAGACTCTCTTTAGAATGATAATAATATCATAAATTTTAATAAGAAAATATATTCATATCTTCGCGCTTTCTCCCCCTACCCGTCCCTCCTTCGTTGCTTTTTTAAGGATTAATCTTCAGCTGCGAATTAAATTTAATATTAAACCGTCGCGTTGCGGTGTTCACTTTCCTGCGCTTTCTAAAATCTGTAATTCTAAATCTGTCGTGTGTTTTATGGAGAAGAATTTGAATATGGAAAAACGTCATTTGATAAGGGAAAACCGAGAGATTCGAAAATACAGACGCGCTTTGATTTATTGTTATACGATTTTGATGTATGAGTGGACAGTAACATTTTATTGTCAGCAATTGAGAACGAAGCTTTGCAATAAACTGGTCAATATGCCGTCTGATGACGGATCGGAACGAGCGTCCCGGCGATTTTCACGAAATAGACCGAAATCGTGTGAGGTAATATAAAATGAAAACGATGACGTTGAATTTTTCAGAATGCGATCTTGCTCTTCATATGTAGTCATATTGTAACGATACTATTGAAATTTCTTTTCTTTTCTTTTTTCTTTTTTTTTCGTAATTTTATACAATGTATCTGACATTAAGTAGAAAAAGGGAAAGAGAAAAAATAGGTAAAGAGAGACATAAAAATAGAAATATTTTGGAGGAATCTACGAGTTAACGAAAAACCCTTTTCTTTTATTCCTCGTTGTCCGTAATCTCAGAACAGAGATTCTTTCATCTCTTTGCAATCGCTGACCTTCTTCCACTCATCCTGATTCAAGGGAGCGCACTCCATTAAAGCGAAGAGCGGAAAAATAGAACTCGCTGTGAGGTAGAAGTGTTTGTCGACACGAGATGGTTCCACGATTTTCTCGATTTTCTACGTTCGAGAGCCCATTACTCGATTATTCGTGTTCCTTTATCTTTTTTTTTTCTTTCTTTCTTTTCTTGTACTTTTTTTCTTTATTTTTTTCTTTTTTTTTTCTTGTACTTTTTTTTTTTTTTTTTTTTTTTTTTTTTTTTTTTTTTTTTTGTTAATTAAAGAATTAAATTAAAGATAAGAATCAAAGAAAAAAAAAAAAAAAAAAAAAAAGAAAAATATCGACACTCCGTTCTCTCTTAAAGAGATTGTTTCATTAATATTTTCATAATGTTCTCGTTCAGTTCGATTTAAAAAAGTTTTAAGAAAACCGTAGAAGAAGAAGGAAGCGGATCGTCGAGAGATATAGTTGGTAAGTACAAGAGAGATGAAACATCCCGGAGTCGGTCGTCGGGCTAATAGAAGGAAAATATTGAGTTTAAAATTATGAAAAATAAAGAAATGCAAAATGA